CACGGCAGCCCAGCTGCAGGTTGAGCTGTTGTTCAGCATCTTAGCTGTGGAGGGCAGTGTCACTGGCCCTCATATGTGGGATCTGAACCGGGGCTCTCTGGCGTCCCAAGCCAGCTCTTAACCATCGCACCACTTGGCCGGCCCCACCTACATCTTTTATAAATAGTAAAACTACATTTCCCAAAAGGCCTTTATTCTTCCGTGTTGTAAAGACGGTTACGATTTTTATTGGTTGTTACAGGTCTCGCGATATATTATTAATCTCATTAAAACGTGCTGCCTAAAGCCATTTTGTTTTTCAAGCCTTTTTTCAAGGGTATTTGCCGCGAAGTTCCAACAAACCAGCTGCTGCATTGTCGCAGTTTTGTCTTCAGGCTTCAACTTCACGATGTTTCCCTTGGCCAAAAACGCACTAAGTCGTCTCCCAGGTGAGCAAAAATTGTGAGCAAATAATTTCCAACTGCCTTTTATCCATTTATCTTCGTTGTCGCTCGTGCCCCTTCCCTCCACCTGCATCCCAACCTTCTAATTCTAAATGCTTAGTCTCCCAACTCGCCCCAAGCAATTGGGAAGATGTCCTTAGCATTAGCTTAATCATCCAGTGTTTCTGTTGTAGCTCACAGCTCTCTTTCTGTTACCGGAGTCATAGCCTAGCCCTGCTTTCTTTTATTCATTAACCTAACGATTTCAGGGAAGAACACGCTTGGTGGACACCTCTTATTAAGTAATTTCGTTAATTTCAGCTTTGGGGAGACATTTACCCTAAAATAGATGAGCCACCTTTCCAGCTCCTGTAATGTAATGGAAGGAAACTAAATCTAGCTCCTCATCTGGTTTTATCGCTGGGAGACAACCTGAATGGTAGCCCTGCAGCTTTTATGTTATTTGTTGGTTAATAGCTGCCCCGAAAGCAATTGTGGACATTTTTTTTTCTTATCTAAGTTAGGCAGATACAGGGACATTTTGAGACCAGCATTACATATTGAGAATGCGCTAGATTGGAAAGAGAAAAGTCGTTTCCATGATTGATTTGCACTCTAGGTGACCTTGAGTAAAGTGAGCAGTTTTTTGGGTTTTTTGTTTTTCAATGAAAGTGACCATACATAATTATCATTTAGCTTCTTTAGCTATCTTATTTTCAGTTTACAGAGTAATTGGAGGTATTAATAGATTGTGTTCTGAACACTCAAGCAGCTTTGACAATAACAAAAAATATTGCCTGACTGTTTTCTTGTAAACCCAAAGCCTCGTCTTTTAACTCTTTAACATTGGGCAAATGATTTAACTTCTTTGAACCTCATTTTCCTCCTTTGTAGAACAAGAGGTTAGGAAATAAAACCTACCTCGTAGAGTTTTTGAGGGTTATATGAGATTAGCAATAGGTGGTAACTAAACCATTTCTTATCACAGAGGAGAGGTCTAAAGAAATCTACTTGAATGACCAGAGTGTTGAGATGTTTCAGAATTGTTTGGTAATCTTAATTTCTTTGCTCGTTACAAGGTAGGGCTTTGTTGTAATTCAGGAAAGGTTTTTTTCCCCCCAATAGGGAATTCACAAACTCACTTTTTAGCTGCTCTAGAGTAGAATATATTGTGAAATGTTTGTAAATTTGCTCATCCCAAGTGTGACTAAAGGTGAAAAAGGTGTAAGGCAGTTAAGAGAAGAAACCATTAATACGGAAATAACTGTCCTGAAATAACACATTGTATCATAGAGAAGCAATTATATTCTTAAGTGCCAGTGAATCGTCAAGATTGCTGTTTCTTTTCCATTAGTACATACTTAAGTACGTTTTTGAGGCCCTAAAACAATAAGGACCTGTTACTTAGATTTGAGGGAAATTAAAAAAAAAACAGCTGGGACGAACAAACAAAACAGACTCAGATACAGAGAACAAACTGATGGTTGCCAGATGGGAGGGGTGTTGAGGGGATGGGTGAAAAGGTGAAAGGATTACGAAATACAAATTGGCATTTACAGAGTAGTCGTGGGGATGTAAAGAGCTGCATAGGGAATATAGTCAATAATGTAATAACTATATATGTTGTCAGGTGGGTTCTAGACTTCTGGGGGAGAATACTTTGTAAGTTATATAAATGTCTAACCACTATGCTTTACACCTGAAACTAATATAATATTGAATGTCAACTGTAATTGAAAAATAAAACATAAAAATAATGAAAATGAATAAAAAACCAGCTGGAAATATGCATTTTCCAGTGTGGGCTCTTTCTCAAGCCCCCCCTAAGTGCCTCCAGAGCAGTTTGAAAACTTTACTAAAGTAAATAGTAAAAGCAGGGGGTTTTTTTTTCCAGTTTTTTTTTTTTAGCTGAGCCATCCTGCCACCTGTTGGCAGCTCAGCGGCAGCTCAGTTTGGGCCAGGCATCGAACCACTGTTGCTCAGAGCTTGCACTCTTGAGCAAGCTCTTAACCAACTGAGCCACTCGGCCGGCCCAGTAAAAGCAGTTTTAATGTCATTCTGCTCAAAAACCTTTACCTCTACCAAAAAAAGTGGCCCTCCATGATCCCTTCTAGTCTTACCCCCATTACTTATCTATACACCTTGCCCTTGAACCAAATGAAATTGGTTTCCTAGTACACTGGAATTTTCCTCTCTGCCTTTTTTTCAGATTCTCCTTTCTCACATCTACATAACCAAATCCCACCTGCTATTCAAAGTGTTTAGCTACCATTCTACTTCCTTGTAGTATAGTGATTTGTCTACATGTCTAATGTCCTCTACGCTGGAAGGTACCTGACGACAGGGTCTGTGCCTTACACTTTTTCACAAACACCATTTCTTTTAGTATGGTGATTAGTACTTTTTTAAAAGTCAAGGTTACTCTAGGTTTTGGAGGTTATTTTTTGTAATTTTAAGGTCATAAACATTTAGTGTGCTTTCCTTCGAGTGTGTTCTTCATTTCATTTATTGTATTCTTTAGTTCTACGTGGTTGTTTTTTATGATTTCTGTATCATTTATGTCCTCCTTAAGTTTCTGAAACATTCTTATCATCAGTGTTCTAAACTCTGTCTCTGAAAGGCTGGATACCTCTGTTTCATATAGTTGCATTTCTTGAGGTTTCTTCTGATCTTTCACTTGGGACATGTTTCTTTGTTTCTTCATTCTGGCTGTGGCTCTGATTGCTTCAATGTATTAGATCACCTAGAAAGACAAAAAAAAAGAAAGAGGGGGAAAAAAAGGAGGGGCTCTCTGCCTGCTGTAATCTGCACTGCAGACCACTTGCTCAGCAATAGAGATTCTGGGCGACTCAGCACCAGCTGCTGGGGGGAAGGGCTCAGTGCGTCATGCACCGACCTCCCTCTAGACTTGAAGTAAGCTTCCCACTATTAGTTGCTGTGTGTTTTGGAACTGTGCTCACCACCAAAAATCCTCACAGGTTGTTGCGGGCTGTCTGCTGCTGCAAAAAACCCACTGTGGCCTGCAGAGGTAGGAGCTAGGGACCAGGGGCTCAGAGTGCCCCTGGCAACACAGCTCTAGGTGGGCGGGGCAGGCCCCCAAGGCACCACAGGGTGTGGTCAGTGGCCCCCACCAAGTCAGAGCAGCATGCACTCCTGCATTGGCAGCCAACCCACACAAACTCCCCTGGAAAGCCCCGGCCTAATCACGCAGGTGCACAGCTCGCAGCCCTACACTCCCAGGAAAACTCCCTGTCTCAGCCTTTCCCAATCAGCTGCTCAAAGATGAGGCCGAGCAGCCTGACAGCCAATTGCCACCAAGACAACTCTGCATGCGCAGTGCAGAAATCAGGGACCTAAGGCTACTGCGCACTTCCGGGTCTGTTGTAGTCGGAGCGCGCTTGCCCGGTGTTTCCCTGGCTACGCAGCACCTAGTGTGCTTTAATTTGTAGTTTATTTTGAGTTTATTTACCCTTTATGTTGTAAGTTGTTGATCACTGCTAAGTAAACTTGTGAAAATTTAGGTCATAAATAGTGAAATTAATGAACAAGAGGCTATACAAATACCAATTTGTAGCGAATGTTAGTGACATCACCTGTTCTTTGCCCTCCCAACATTTTATTATGAAAATTTTCAGACATACAGAAAAGTTGGAATAATTGTGTGAAAATCTACATACCTACTGCATAGATTCTACAATTAACATTTTGCTATATTTGTTTTATCACATATCTAACCATCTGTCAATTCAAATTTTTGATGCCTTTCAAAGTATGCTACTTTTAGCTACAATTTTTTTTAATACTTTATTGAACTGCACTGCATAGTACTGTAAAACTTAACTTCCTTTCTTGATTGGCAATATCAATTACATATATTCTCTTTTCTGATAATTCTTAGATATGCTTCCATATATTTTTTTTCTTTAAGCTCGAAGCATTCAGCAAACAATGGCAAGGCAGATCCACCAGAAACGGACACCTGATTTCCATGACAAATATGGTAATGCTGTATTAGCTAGTGGAGTCACTTTCTGTGTTGCTACATGGACATATGTAAGTACAATTGATGGATAATTTCTTGTTTAGATGTTTTTCATTCCCATTTAGCTCATGTATTCAAAATGTATTTACATGGTAGTGTACATTTCTAGTTAGGAGGGACTTTAGAGATTTTGTAATATAATCACCCACCCAGTGCAGGAATTTCGTTCAACATTTAGCATTCATCCATCATCTATTTGTAACATTTCCAATAACAAGTTGCATACTGGATCACAAAGCAGCCCTTTTCATGTTGTATAGCTGTGTTGTTGTTTTTTTTAAAGATTTTTATTGAGGGAATTGGGGGATGGGAACAGTGCTGGGGAATTGGGGGAAGGGGAACAGACAAGTTGCTGTCCTTTTGTTCTTCAGTCTAGTTGTGGAGGACGTTGCTTCACTGGCCCAAGTTGGCACCATCATTGTGCTCTTCCCGGGTGAGGCAGATCAGTCACCGGCTTCTGGACAGCCGCTCACTATGGGTGCTCACCGCGGCTGCTGGCTACACACGGTAGCCCATGGCAACCCACTGCATTAGGGGCTGCAGCCCACGCCGTTGCCAGTGACTCAGGGCAGCCCAGCTCCAGGTCGAGCTGTTGTTCAGCATCTTAGCTGTAGAGGGCAGTGTCACTGGACCTCATATATGGGATCCGAACCGGGGCCCTCTGGCGTTCCAAGCCAGCTCTTAACCAACGCGCCACTCGGCCGGCCCTTGTATAGCTGTTTAAAAGGATCATATGTTGAGTTAAAATCTGCCGCCTCCATATTCTACCCATCATTCCACTGCAACACAGAACTTCTGCTCCCATTTCCATGTATCCACCATTAGATGTTAGAAAATTGCTGTTTCCTGGATCTTCTCTTTCAGATTAAACATCCTTAGTTCTGTCAATCATTTGTGTTATATGGTTTCCAGCGTTTTCACCATCTTGGATCACCTCCCTTCATTTAATTAGTTTTTCTTCTAAATTCTGCTCTTAGAAATGAATACAACATTTCTGATGGATGAGCTATAAAGTTGCTTGCTTTCAGTAATTTGGTGGGTTTTTCTTTGCATTTGCATTTAATGATCTACTTGTCACTACTTGCTGGTTAAAAGTAGGAGTCTTGATGTTATAATAAATATATAAGTTGATTTTAAAAGATATGAATTAACCATTGCCTTAATAAACAAAAACACTTTATTCTTGGTTCCTGAAATTAGATACACCATTCAAGTAAGTGTGTGACTTAACTAGAAGTGTAAACAGATGTTGAACAAATGCATAATCTTGGCACTTTTGGAGGTGAACTGCTCATTCATGAAGGGATATTACAAAAGTGCTCTTTGGCAGTATTTAGGTAGTTGTGGTTGAGTGAAGCAACATTTTGGGGAAATAGTATAAAATGTTAAATATAAACTTGAGTTAATTAAATAAAATAAATTCAGTTCTTTAGACATACTAGCCACATTTCAGTTGCCCAATGACCATATGTGGCTAGTGGCTACTGTATTGCCCAGTGCCAATATAGAACATTTCCTTCATCTCAGGAAATTCTATTAACAGCATTGCTCTGAGAATTAGGATAATAATTAGGTTTGCCAACATGGAGGGCACTATATGCCAGGCGAGTTTCTGTGTGTTTTTAACCTATAGAGCAGAATACTTTTGTCACTTTTAAGAAATAGTATTTAAGGGAGAGCAGACTCTAGTTTAAACATACATAACTGACAGCATTTTCATTCTTACAGACAGCAACACAAATTGGAATAGAATGGAACCTGTCCCCTGTTGGCAGAGTCACCCCAAAGGAATGGAGAGATCAGTAATCATCCCAGCTGGTGAAATACTGAATTGTTTCAAAACCAACTCAATTGATGCCAAGTGAAAGCACTATATATCCATTAAAATATGGCATGATTGAAGAAATAAAGTGCATTTGAAACCTTCATTGTAGGTTTGTTTCTTTTGTGAATGAATCTGAACTTGGTCACTTTCCATTTATTTAACCTTTGTGTTAACATTAAAATCCAAACACCATACAACTTTTTAAATAGCTTTTCTATATGAGGTAGTGTGAAACGAAAATTTGGCTGTCACCTGGAAGTCGACTTTTACAGTAGGCTGAAATTATAGTTCATGAATAACTGATCACAATTATTTTAGGTCATCTTTGTGCTAAAATTCAGATCTTAGTTATGCCTACTACTTTCTACCTCCCATTTATTTTTATATTTGGAATTGGCATTATTAAGTCCTTTTTCTCCTGCGAAGAGAACTTAGGTTGCCACCAGACCCAAGGTAAGAGTGGTCCTATCAAATGTTCTTCTAGGATGTCTGAAGGCTAGCTAGCTCCTTGGTTCCCTTGGCACATTTGTCTTAATTAGACCTTTAGATTTTTCAGCATATTTATTTGTGATGTTTATGATGATATTAATGAAAGGATCTGTCAAATACAGTTTTTCATGTATCTACAATCAGTGACCTCTGCTCTTGGCTTTCTGTAATTATACCACTTTTGGATTTGTGGATTATTCAGAATTCAGTATGATGACATTGTATATTATATGTAAGATAGTAAATGAAGAAAACATGATATCTATACCATATGCTTTATTACTTTCTTGGCCAAAGGCTGTAAATAAGCCTCATGTAGCAGTTTGTTGATAGAGCTCAAGGAAGCAGAAAATGGAATTCCTGTGAAGTATCCTATCTATATTAGCTAAATTAGAGATTTCTAAAATTCATTTATGTGATACTATTGTCAGATAAGTGACTTTTAGGGATATCCAAATTTACCTTATATAGATAAGGATTTATACTTAAACATTTGAAAATATTTTACTTATTACATGAAATACAGGCATACCTTGGAGGTATGAGTTCCACACCACAATAAAGTGAATGCCACAACAAAGATCTCAAGAAATGCCTATCTGCTCATCTGTAAGAAACTCCTCATCCATTAAACTTTTATCATGAGATTGTATCAATTCTGTCATATCTTCAGGCTCTACTTTTATTTTATTTTATTTTTATTTATTTTTTTTTAGATTTTTTTATTGGGGAATTGGGGAAAGGGGAACAGACAAGTTGCTGTCGTTTTGTTCTTCAATCTAGTTGTGGAGGATGTTGCTTCACTGGCCCAAGTTGGCAC